AGAAACATTCACGTGAATATTTAACATTTACAGCAAAGATTTTTACAGTCTATGATATTACTGTAAAATGCAGTTTATGCACTGAGAAAACATAACTCACACATTAAACAGCACATGCATCTGTCAAAGCGCCAGACAGGACAAGCCATGTTAAACATTACGCTAATGCATTAGCTTTAAGGTTAAATTAAAGCATTCTCATGTTTCAGGCAGCTTGGATCACGCATCTTTCCCGCAGCAGCTCACTCTGTTTCATCCGCTATTTTTAGATGCATTTCGTCCATACTAGAAATGCTGTCATTTGACGTGACTGGCGGAAATTTTCCGTGCGCGGTGGGCAGATCTAATCGATAATGACATTCGTTGTCGATTATTTTCATTATCGATTATTATCAATTTTATCCATTAGTTGTTGCAGCCCTATTTTCCAGTTTATTTTTGTGAAGCTGCTTTGAGACAATCTCTATTATACTATATATATATAGTGTCACATGATCCTTCAGAATCATTCTTATATGTTGATTTGCTGCTCAAGAATCATTTCTGATTATTATCAATATTGAAAACAGTTGTGCTGCTTCATATTTTTGTGGAAACTGTGACATTTTATTTTTCAGGATTCTTTGATGAAAAGAAAGTTCAAAAGAACAGCATTTATTTGAAATGGAAAACTTTTGTAACAATTTATAATATCTATTTACTGTCACTTCTGAACAATTTAATGCGTCAGTGATAGATAGATTTAATTTTTGATATTTTTTTTACTAGTGAGTGCAGGACACTATAGTTAATTTATGTAAGTGAGGATAGCAAAATAAAGTAAACTGTGACATATTATACACAAAAATTCTTCATACAGTGGACTACCAGTAAAACTGATACAAATTTGGGACCAAAAAGTATTCAGACACTTTGAACTGAGCATGTTTTGCTTAAGTGTTATCTGACATTATCAAGATGAATTTGTTCTGACACAGTTTAACTCTTGTCATGTTTTATTCCCATTTTCTAAACTATAGCGAAAAAAACTGTGATAATGTGTGAAATGTTGAAGGTGTCTGAATAAATTTTGGTTTGACTGTATATGTTTCTTATGTATTTGGGGTGTCGTGTTGGGGATTAAGACTTTTTGTGTTTTGTTGATATTGTTAAATTGCTAATGTCTCACCCCAGCTCTGACATGCCGTCCAGGAACTCTTTGCGGCTGAACTCGCACTGCGTCGCCGCTCTAAATTTCCACGCCACAATCAGGATGCTGACACTGGACGGATCCAGCATGAGGTCGTCACAGAACTGCTGGACCCCGTCGATGCCGATCTTATTCTCATCATGTGGATCTGCAGACAGAAGCAGCATAAATAAAGATACAAACACACACAAACACACACGCTTAGTGCCACTTACCTTTATACCGGTTGTACAGCTGATCCAGCTTCTTGCGATCCACTGCTGTTTTCATGGAGTCTCTTCGGTAGATATCAGGGTTCTGGAAGTAGTTATCGGTGGCCGTCTCTAGTCTCCAGTCATTGTGGGTCAGGCAGTAGAGGGCGGTTCTCTCTGCGGCCCGCGTGAAGGACATAAACTGACGGATCTTTTCCTTCTGGGACAACTTCAATTTATGCTGGGGAACAGAAGTTAATGTGAGCGCTTGCTTTCTGAACAACAACACCAGCCTCAGTGACCTGACTGCTCTACTGTTAAATAATAGTTACAGTAAACACAGGTAGTTAGTTAAGTATGTCCTCACTGTGTGAAATTTCAACATGACACGACAGTCACCTTATATGGAAGCTTGTTTCCGAAGCCTGTTTCAAAAAAATAAAAAAGGTAATTACGACTTTTATCTCACAATTCAGATTTTTTTCTTCCTTAGTTTATATTCCAAAATTCTGTGTTTTTAACCTTGGTAATTCAGAGAAAAAAAATTCAGAATTGCAAGATATTAACTGAGAATTGCGAGAAAAATCCACCATAAACCAATATATAAACTTGCAATTGCAAGAAAAAGTCAGAATTGTGAGATAAAAAGTCAGTTACTAGGGCTGCACGATTATGACAAAAATCATAATTGCCGATTATTTCCTTGAAATTGTGATTATTAATTACGATTATCACAATTTACATTAAATTATGTTTATATTATACCATTGTTTGATGCAACTGCATGCTGTATTTTTATATGAAAATAAACAAGCTGAAAACACTCTAACTGAAAAACCTTTAGTGCTTTTCTATAGTATTAAGCCTCAAATGTCAAATATACATCGGATTGGTTTCTTCTTTAAATTATAAAAAAAATTAAAAATATGAATGGTATTATAATGTTATACTAAAACAATGGAAAAACCCTTAAGATAACATGTAGAAAGAAAAAAACATATCTTTTTACGCCAGAAAAATTAGAAAACGGCTCCTTTTTCGTTTTTTTCCAAAAAACAAAAAAACGAGAATTCAGCTTAAATTTTCGTTTTTCCTTCATGGGTGGAAAAATGAATAAACAGCTTGAATATTCGATTTCTACACGTGGGCGGGATCCTAACAGTTACCTTTTTTATTCTCTAATCTGTGGTGGAAACAAATTCAGAATTACGAGATGTAAAATCAGCATTAAGATAAAAAAGTCAGAATAGCGTAAACTTGAAATTGTGAGGGGAAAAAAGTCAGAATTCTGAGTTTATCTCTTTTTTCCCCCTCAGAATTGCGAGAAAAAAGGTCAGAATTGTGACATCAAAACTCGAATTTACCTTTTATATGGAAATAAATAAATAAATATATATATATATATATAAGCAGAAAATTTCACTAGCCATTCAAACTTTTACCACAATAACCATATTTATGCCAGAATACCAGTTACTAAAGTAAAATCAGCTGATTACATTCATAGTGATTTTTTTTTTAAATTTCATAATTTAACAATTTAATTATTTTTGATGACAATGGTTACCACGGTTTAACATAGTAAAAGTATGTGTAGAACAGGGAATTTTAAGGCGTAACTTTGCTTACTATGCTAAACTGACATCATATGTATATGAAATTATGATTATTCAAATACTAAAAAAATTATACAGTGTAACCTATATACGAAGAGCCTGATCTGAGCGTTAAATCAAACCTTTATCATAAAGTACAGTGGTTGTACCATGGTATAGTGATGTATCAGCAGATAGGTACCATATTCTGAAATATTTTACAGTATTGATTACCACATTCGTATATCATAATGACATTTACGTGGTATTACCAGAGTACACGTATTTTTTTGTCTCTGAAGGGTTAAAGATCTCGGTATCAGTGTATGAAACCGGTTCCGGTGAGGTCCTTTGATTGAAACGCCTTCATCTGACCCTCCATTTCCCTCATAAACTGACGCACGGAAAACATTGTGACAAAGCGACTCGAGCGCAGAACGAGCGTCTGTTTACAGTCATCACACTGCCCCGGTGGCATTTCAGATAAACACTACTGCCCCCCCTGCACGAGTCTCTAGTTCGCTCACCTACCATCTTTTCACGCGCAGCTTCATGTCCAGCGGAGCTCCCTGTGCGCATGCGCGGAAACCAGCGACCGCTCATGCTCAGGGGAATTCTGGGAGTTGTAGTTTTTCCACCTGTGTGGCTCTCGAAGTAAGCTGACAGATGTTTCACTTACAGAACCTCTAATCTTTAATTTTGTGCACAAACACGGCATTGATATAAGTAAGTATGGAGTAGTAATTAATTCTGAATTATTTGTAATTACAAAAAAGTGCTATTAGTAATTATACCTATGGCATATTTATAGTCTATGGAAGTCCATTTCTGCCATGGGATGAATGAATGAATGAATGAATGAATGAGACTTTTATATCTAAGTTCATATCTCACAATTTTTACTTTTTTCTCACAATTTTCTGAGTTTATAGCTCACAAATATAATTTTTTTTGCAGAAAAAAAGTCTGAATTGTGAAATATAAACTCAGAATTCTGACTTTTTTTTTCCCAATTTTGAGTTTACACTTTGCAATACTGAGTTTACCTTTTCCCTCTCAATTCTGAGTTTACATCTTGCAATTCTGTTGTTTTCCACGAAAAAATAATAATAGGAATAATAATAATAATAATAATAATAATAAAAAGTTCTTTGCAACATTTTATCTCACAATTCAAACTTTTCAATTTACAATTCTGACTTTTTTCTCCCAATTTTGAGTTTACAACTCACAATTCGGATTTATGGACCTTTTTCACATTTCCGGGTTTCTAAGCAGTGGAAGTCGTCATAGTTGGGTTAACTTGAAGAGCGGTGAATGGGAGAGCACTACAAATATATTTTTTGCATTCCCATTTGCTCAAATAGCAAAAGAAAAACTCCACGATAGTGTTTTCATGAAAAATATATATATATATATGAAAAACTTTCGAGGATTTACGATGCTGATGACCGTTAAAGGCGTCGTCACAGTCTTGTGAACTTTCCTTTTTCTTCTCAGAATTGCGAGACACTTACAATTCTGCATTTATATAAAAAAAATCGAGTTGTGAGATAAAAAGGCGCAATTACCTTTTTTATCCCGTGGCAGAAACAAACTTCCATAATACTTCTGAATTTCTTCCTGGGGCAGATTGAAAACTACAAATCCCACAATGCACGCGCTACTGTTATGATTCAGAACTCATCACAGTTCTGTTTTCAGGGCTAGTAAAATAAAACATAAGGTGAAAAACGAGCACCGAAGAATGACAGCCACCGATCTGTGCGAAAACACAAACGCGACTAATGTTCGTTACTCTTCCGCGAACATTCTGTTAAGTTTAATCGAGTATGAGAGTGTTTAGTGCTGTCACTGCCGTGGGGTCGAGTTTGTGAGGAGCTCTCATCATCTCCCGCAAGCCGAGCTCGTTACCTGGTCCGGGACTCGAAAGTAAATTACCGGCGGATGACTGTCTGGCTGTCCGGGAGCTTTATGTCGTTTTAAGAGCCGCCTGAGGTCGGTGTGCGCGCGCAGCGCTCGCTCTTAGTATGTGGCGTCACAAGAGCGCGATTGTTTCCTTCATTTACTGACGAGTTCCACCAGTTAACAGCAGTTTACTTACCAGGTATGAGTTAGTACTCCCTTTCTGTGTTATCGCTGATATTACCTTGCAGAATTTAATTTATAAAATGTATTTGAAGTGGATGATTTAGACAGCCGTGAGTAATAATCTGCGATGTAAAGCGTTTGATGGACGGTCGGCATAAATCTACGTTATACTTTAAATAATATAGTGATTTACAGTAGTGATAATTCGCGACAAGTCGGTTGGCATTGGTTAGTTGTTATTAAGTGAAATTATTCTTAAACACCAACAACACGTCATCGCTGTGTCGGATGCGAATGCGTGTCGTTCTCTTATCATATTAAATGTAAATTAAATATTATGTCACATCTCGAAAAGATTATCCTTCCTGCCTGTCCTCAGTATTACTAACCATTACCCTGTTAGGGTTAGCTTTTAACTCTGTACTTGTTCAGCTGTAAAAATGATATAAAATCTCTTTGTACAAATACAGTAATAGCCTCTTTATGTAGCCTACTCTCACTAGTACTACCCAGAAATTCTATAAAAGAATTACCATCAAGATTTTCTAAAAAAACATAAAAGACTTTCCAGATGGACCAAAATATATGAAGTTTTTTTTTCCACACACACACAAAAAAATTCTAAGGCAAGACTTGAGGTCATCCCGTCTTATCTATTCACTAGACACCCCAGGGCGGTCTTCTTTTTTCCAAGAGCAGGCAATTACATGTTTAGGCTCCAGTAAACAAAGAATAAACAGCAGTCTTTCATGTTTGGTAATTCTAAAATTCAGAGGATAAATGTATAATACACAGAGCCTGGGGTCAAGAGGGCTCTAACCCTTTGCCAATAATTTGACTTACTATATCCAGTATTTTACACAGAAGCAATTAACTCTAGTGCACTCCCAACATACAATGAAATAAAGTTCCCTTCTCTTGTTTACATTTATAACATACATCAGGAATATTGGGGTTAAAATTATGTAACTTGACCGGAGTGATGTATTGACTAGTTAACCATTTATACTGAAGCAATCTCAAATGGGTGCTCATTATGGAGCCCCTAAAGAGGCATGGTGGTGGAAAAAAATACAAGATGGGAGGAAAAAATATTTTTCAAAACTTTTGCATTCTCTTGCAAAGATATTTGTGTTCTCTCGCAAAACTTGTTGAGTTCAGACAAACACTTCCTCTTTTATTTTACAGCTTGTAGAAGTCCAAACAGCTCCGCAGGTTCACAATAGAGCGGTTCATAGAGTTATTTTGAACTTGGACTCATGTACGTATAAAGAAATACAGTCAGCACTTAGTTCAAGGCACTGTTTTGGGACATTCTGAAAGGCTTCCCGTGGCTTAATGTACGAAAACAGAGACATTGGAGGACCAAATTCAGTACACACCTTATTTATAAAGCATACTATTTACAGACAATCAGAATAGCCCAGAATATGAACGTAACGTTCTAAAATGCATGTTGTGTTTTTTCCCCCATAGAAAACGTTATAAAGAAAACACTTAACGTGGCTTTAGTCGAGGGCGCTTGTTATTCCAAATGAAGTTTGTGAAAGTTTTTTTTTCCATCAGGGCAAAAAAGGAATGGGGATGGATTGGAAGAGATTTAACAATTTGGATAAAATTGACATTTTTAATAAATAAAGACTTCCAATTAAGGAAATAAGGAGCTTTGTCCACCTGTTCAGCAGAGCAATTACAGATTTTGATAAGGGCTTAGAGTTAGCCGATATAATTTTATTAACAGTAGGATTCATTTTTATTCCAAGATAGGTAAAACACTCTTGTGAAACTGTTAAAGGCATCTGAACAGGTGGGTGAAGCCTCTCTTCTTAATGGAGGAACAAAAACACAGACTTAGAATTCTTAATTTTATACCCTGAGAATTCCCCAAAAATTTTGCACATTTTATAAATGAGATTACATTCTACATAAAATTTTTACCAGAATAAAATTATTATATAATACATTTCATTCTTGACAGAAAATGTATACAGCATAATATCTGTATCATTTTATTTAGAGAAGTTATTGTTTTATATAACATCCATCTTGTTATGCAACATTACATTTGTGAAAGTTTTTTTTTCCATCAGGGCAAAAAAGGAATGGGGATGGATTGGAAGACATTTAACAATTTGGATAAAATTGACATTTTTAATAAATAAAGACTTCCAATTAAGGAAATAAGGAGCTTTGTCCACCTGTTCAGCAGAGCAATTACAGATTTTGATAAGGGCTTAGAGTTAGCCGATATAATTTTATTAACAGTAGGATTCATTTTTATTCCAAGATAGGTAAAACACTCTTGTGAAACTGTTAAAGGCATCTGAACAGGTGGGTGAAGCCTCTCGGCTTCATAATGGAACTGAAATAAAGACTTAGAATTCTTAATTTTATACCCTGAGAATTCCCAAAAAATTTTGCACATTTTATAAATGAGATTACATTCTACATAAAACTTTTAACAGAATAAAATTATTATATAATACATTTCATTCTTGACAGAAAATGTATACAGCATAATATCTGTATCATTTTATTTAGAGAAGTTATTGTTTTATATAACATCCATCTTGTTATGCAACATTACATTATCATAATTTCAGTTTTGAGTTGAGTTGTTTTGTGAATGATTGACACGTCTTTCTCGTGATTCAGTGTTGAAATGCTGATGAATATCATTGTATGTCAGTGACAGCTGTGCATCTGAACCTGTATTTCTGCAGGATGTAGGTGTGACGAGAGGTACACACTTCAGGGTTGTTTGTCTAGTTAGTGACACACCTCATACCAACACAGATTTTAGTGTTCATCTATTTGGTGACAGCTGCAGCTTTGGTTTGTGCTGTTCACACTGTTATGAAACAAACATGCTACGGTAGTCAGTGTTACCGGTGTTAAACGGTGTTCGGTTATACACTACTCAAAAGGCTCTTTATGGCAATATTTCTATATTTAATGTAAGTGAGTTTGTCTTTGTTTGTTTTGTTGTGTTTTATTGTGTTTTTCATAAAAAAATAAGCATTCGTTTTAAAGGGGGAAATCCAAAGATCTTTCATTTATTTGTTCATTTATATATATATATATATATATATATCATTGCCACAAATTAAGAATTCATTCCAACAACTTAATTTTTTCCATTGTTTAAATTAAATTGTGCCCAACTGCCCATGAACGTCTCAGGTTACGTATGTAACCATGGTTCCCTGAGAAGGGAACGAGACACTGCCTCCTCTAGGGGTTGCTATGGGGAACGCCTTCAGCATGATCGGTGTCTGAAGCATACATCTTAAAACGACAATAACATTGGCCGGTGACAGCCTATGACATCATTACCCTGCGCGATCACAGTATAAAAGGGCGCCGGGATAACACGTCATCCTCTTCTTCGTCTGAAGCTT